ATCTTCGCATCGTTCCTGCTGAAAGATAAGTCGAATGGAAGCGAAATGCCATTGAGCAGGAGCGATGCGTAGATCTAATTTCAACAACCGTAAATGCAGAAATTAACGAACTGTGGAAATGTTCGGGCTTTCCACATTGAGTAAATCAGTGAACAAAAATTATCCACATGCGAATATATATTTACATATTATATAGCTTATAGATGAATCGAAAATAAGGTTTCAGACCTATTACCATCGCGAAAACAAATCCGCACTGCGATCAGTTTAAATGGTCAGAACGCGACCATTGGTCGGATTGGTCGAGTGGTTAACACCTCGGCCTTCCACGCAGGCGGCCAGGGTGGGATCCTAGAAGTCGTCGCACGCATGGAATATTCAGAGAAAGTGTTTTTCTCCTGCTCAAACATATCAAGCAGCCCAGGTAGGGTATGAATGGTCTCGGCTGGATGTTGCGGTATCTGTGCTGTAGCATTCAAGTGAGGTGACACTATAAATAATACCGTTGGAACATAATACACCTCCAGCACACACGCAGGTATACACACATAGGAAGATATTAATCAGGTGGCATAGGACAAGTAGTTAGAGCCTGATAAGACAGCTCCTGCGAATACCTCAAAATTTAACTGATTAATGTAGACGTATATGCTAATTGTATACATTGTATATCTAAGTACCGGAAAGCGCTTTAAAGTGGATTTTGTTAGCTAGATAGGGCGCTATATCAAATGTTGTACATTATTTCCAAAAGCAAATATCTCCACTTTTACAATACATTGAACCGTGAAATTTGGGTGTCATAGAGGATAAATTGCACTCGCCAAAGTATGCCTAGAATGATCTGGCTTCGGCTTAACAGAGCAAGTAATAATTGTGATAATCATAATGGCGATCTCCAGACGTACTGGTCGACACGATGGACATCATCAATCTTCATCCACCTTGGGCTGGCGTCTGGCTAATTAGTCAGTTAGCATTAATGTCCTGGTATAACTGTCGCGTAAATCAATGATCTACGTTAGGTTTAGGTGATAATTACATATAAAATGTAGCGAACGACTCAAAGGAAATAGTTATATTCTTTACACTGATTATACGTAATACCCTTGACTAGTCTCTAAATGATAGTAAACCAAATTACGTTTCACAATAATGTAAGCAGCGCTGATGACTGTGAATTCCCCATTTTGAAATTATATGGCATTGACTGACAACCGTAATAGGTCAGATCAAGTCGTTTTTAGTGAGCAATGAACCAACAGTTACTTGCGGTAATATTAAGAAAGTTATCTACAATTGTGCAAAAAAAGTCAACACACAAGAATAAAAAAATGATGTCGAAATAAAAACAGGATCAACGGAGACGCCAACACAACAGCAAGAACAGCATGAACTCGAAGAAAGAATCGAAGACGAAAGACAAAACCAGACTCCCCCGTAGAGCACACATGTGGCGTCTAACCCGTCAAACAAAAAATAATATACAGACAACCAAAACACAATAATTAAGTCTTCAGTTAGGACGACACGAAAATCAAAATGATGGAAACAACCATGACACGACGACGTCAGTAAATTGTTAAAAGGGTAGGTATTGGATATGGACTTTACCAATCTTTTCTAACATATATTTGTTTTAAACAATTAAAATCAACGTTTCTGATTTTAATTAATAGATAGTTACATTGAAATTAAGGAGAGTTAAGTCGTGATCAAACTTATTTTGAAATTTGATTTTGCACGGACACCAAGAGGCACGGTATTCTAGAGGTAGGACGCCGGGCTCGTGACCAAAGGGTTGCGGGCTCGAGTCAAGGCACGGCACTGTGTTGTACCTTTGAACAATATTCTTTAATCCGCTTGTTCCAGTCTACTCGGCTGTCAATGAGTACGTGGCTGGGCAGTGCTGGAAATGTTGAATGCTAGCTGTTAGCGCCGAAATGGCAGCACCGACGGTATGCTCACAAGGGAGTTGAGAAAGATATTGGCTGGTTGCAAAGGCCCTATAACCACGGAAAATAATTTGTGAACCGTTTTGAGACGACCTACGAACTAAGCTGTGATAAAGCAGTTTATAAGAAACTCGAATTATAAAAATAGTAGCAGTAGTAGTAGTAGTAGTAGTAGTAGTAGTAGTAATGGTAGTAGTAATAGTAGTAGTAGTAGTAGTAGTAGTAGTAGTAGTAGTAGTAGTAGTAGTAGTAGTAGTAGTAGTAGTAGTAGTAGTAGTATCGAACCCGAAACATGTTGTTTTTTTTGTTTTACACTCTATCAAATACGAAGAGAAATTCGCCCTTGTCAAGTCGGAAGAAGGCGGCTGGTATTTTGTCAGGATGACATACTCCCACCTGTAGGTAAGAACTCGTCCCGAGTTTTACAGGGGTCATAGCGGTTCCAGCGAAAGTATCGTTGCGTATTTCGGTCAATAAGCCAAGGGCCTCTACGTGGTCGCCAATGTAACAAAGGTCAATTTTGTTTAATGTCTCCACAAGGAGTCAAAACCAGGACCTGTGCATTTCTAGTCCTGGGTTCAACCAAATGATCTTAAGATAATTATTTCATCTTGCCGAATCGGTAGGAAGCGGTTAGTATTTAACCACGTGGAGAGTGAAATTGTCTGTATGAGCAAAATGTTGGAGACATGATATTGTTATGCTTCCTCTTCACCTAAAAGCGTCAACCAAATGTGAATTTATAAAGTTTTTTGGAAAACTTCTGGAGAAACTTGAACATCCATCACTGTCCAATATAGCTTCTTTTAAAACTAGAATTATTATCTTAAAAATTTGATAGATCGTTCATTGGCGCTTGAAACTGGCAAGTGCAGATAAAAATGCCCAATATCAATGAGATGTATAGCGTTAATTGCGATACAGTTGGCGATAAAAACAAACAAATGTTACTGTCAACCTTGGTGGAAGGCTGTTCAGACATAATAACGATAATGTGATGAAGACTAAATGTCTTATGAAGCTAGTTTTTCACACTGTCTAATAACACATTGGCATGATTCCTAATTTAACATTTAAATGTATTGATAACGCTGTGTTGTCCTTGAGTGCCATGACTATTTGTTTCCGAGCCATATTTCTTCCCTTTTTCACATTAATGATTCCACAGACAGATTCGTGTCAATAAAAATCACAATAATGGTCACTTCCTAATAAGCCTCTCTGATAAAAATGACATTTATTTTACGATCGCTCGTTATCTTCCCCTTAGTAAGTCTTTTTAATTAAAATACAGACCATATTTCCAAAATCAAAATTGTCCTAGTCTATATCTGAATCTCATACTGCAAGCAAACAAATGTATGTAAATCACGATAACAAATGATCTATTTCAAAATATGGTCGATAGCATTCGATAACATATTGTAAAGAAAAGGAAAAAGAAATATACGGATTACTCCTTCCCAATGATCCAGTTAGCAAGGAAAACTAAAAGCATACTGTCAATAAATGTAATGTATTGCTACCGGGACGTAATCAGCTATCCGAATGATCCCCTTAGTACCAATTAGTACCTGCTTTCAGGCTAGTGGCAGACTCAGTCTGATTTCGATCTAGCTTCCATTAATGAAGCAGAGCTAAGAATCAATATGTTCCAAAAGCAGCGACACCAGTCTCTCGCATGTTTACTTCCCAGTGTATGGTGATATCCATCCGTACCGCTTGGTAAATAGGAATATATAAGATCAATGAAACAAACACTACGGTTGTCTGCGGGAGCCAACAAACTACAAATTGATGCATGCTTCCTCCCCTAAGGGGCTGTCACTTCCTTTGTGATTTACTCCCCTATCTATATGAAGCTGCCAATACGTTAATGACTGTTGAACCTAGTAACCACTGTTATCAATATCTGTACAGAAACACCAAGACAAGTGTAGTTGTGAAAGCCTTTATTATTTTAACTTTCGTTAGGTTGCTTCATGCAGGACTGTGATAAAGGTCCAATAACAAGGGAGATAGTTACATATTACTTCAGCAAACTAATATCTAAATATCAAATAATTGCTCTTTCAACGAACAATTCAGTTAAAAACTGTTATGTTTTGTTTAAATATTAACTTTTCATAGTTGAAATTATGACATAATATATAGCTTTATATTATTTTGTAATTCTTTGGAAAGGAACTAAATTATGTGGGGGTTTTCTAGACTGAATAACTCGCACTATCAATATTCCACTGGTGACAGGCATTTTGAATTAGTAATTTTAATAAAATCTTAATTAATCAAGACATTTCCTGGTAAACTCATATTTATACATAACCACTACTTTACTTAAAATTAGTAAGGGAATATAAAAATGTAAATCCAAAAGTCTTCTTCATCAATAATATAACGGATTAACAAATTTACCCCCAAAACGTAAAATTACAAAATACCAATATTTTGAGTTAATACTTTGTTAATCACATATAAATAATTGTAAATATATAAAACGACATCTAGAATATATTTTAAAACAAAAAATCTTTAAGCTTGTTTAAAAACGAAAATATATTAAAAGTTAATGCAAATTATTTAAATACTAACAAAAATATAAAATTAAAGGAACAGCTTCAACACCTACATAACATGCTATGCAAATAAAAATTATAACGTTAAAAATGTCAGTGTAAATATACTATGTACATTAAAAGTGAATCAGTAAATATATCACAGATAAGTCACTCAACAAAACAGACTTTTTAAATAATTAAGGATTAAGTTCAATATATTTTTCATGTTATGTAGATATAACACAAAAAAAGGATTGTACTCTAAATAAACCGCGAAGCGGTTTATGATAGAGTACACTCCGGTTTTTGGCGTTATAGCTCCATAACATGAAAAATATATTCAAGTTCATCCTAAATAATTTAATCTACTATAAACAATCCCTGTGGGAATCCACTTTTATTGGTGGACTCCATTCTCTAAGAAATTATTGCGCTGTTGTATCAGCCAATCAAAAGCGACGTTACAAACGGCGACGTCATTTTTTTACGTTATGGGCTGATAACATAAATTGTTAAGCCATGGGAAACGCTTGTTACAAGCAAGAATAAATTATTCAATTTTAACTGTATTCAGTTCACAGATATTTCACTTGATTAAAAATAAGTAATAATAATAAAACAATATAGTCTACATTAATATGGCTCAAACTCGACATATGTTAAAAGATCACGTGAACAATAATACATGTGAGGTCGAAAACAAGCTTATTGGGTGGTCAAGTGGCGTAGTGGATAGAGCACTTGCCTTTCACCAATGCAGCCGGGGTTCGATTACCCGATCGGAGGTTAAAAGGTATGAGGTGACCTGTCCAACCACGTAGGTCTTAACCGGGAATGCCGGTTTACTCCCACATTAAGATCCCCGTGCGCTAAATTCCAGGCCAACAAGAGTGATTGTAATGACTTGTTTCATTATTGTTGTAAATAAATAAAGTTTATATTTAACAGGCTTATTTACAAATTGAACATAAAAATAGACTGTGGTGTGGGAGGTAAGTGTAATTTAAACATTTTATACAAATTGCTTCCTTCTTTTCCTTCAGTTCCAATAGCAGTTGTGTCAAAAGTAAACTCTACTTCAGTATAAAGAAGACATTTTGCTTAAAACGTTAATCAATTGAAAAATAAAACGCATCTAGCCCTCTATTTTCTAAATAAATACGAATGATTAAATCATTCCCTAGCTACGACTAGTTAAACACGCTTAACGTGAGCCATACTGAATGGTCTTAGAATATCCTGCTGGAAACACAACCAAACGAGCTACTTACTCTTTAAAGTACCTCTAAGTTAGTATTTACCGATGTAATATAACTGGTATTCTATGGCGATAGCTTTGAATTTCATAAATATATATTCAAGATTTAAAGCGTGAATATATTTGATTTCTAAAATCACTTTGGTTAATTTGTTCGAGAGCATACACAAAAGAGGGATGGGTATATTCAACATCGACATATAAAGAAATAATACGGAAACAATCCGACTTTGATACACGGCCAAATTTGACAACAATCGAGAATAGTTTGTCTATGAAAAATGCAAAAATATATATTCTTCTTTATAGACCGATACCGATTTTCTCTTCGATATCCATTATAAACAAAAGTTTCATCACTGATAGTCTACCACCTGTACAACGTTGACATGTGACGCACATAACTAAATACGTTAGAAAGGTTTTCATACGTCACTGTGAAATATCGCTTGTGGTAGTGTAATTTTAAATTCGAATGAACTGCACGGAAAAGCTCCATACATAAGGTTAAGTTTAATTTGTGAGCATGACCTATGTTACCTAACCTACAGTTTCGAGACCACGCTAAGTAATTGTCCTTGCAGCAATGAAATATTCTCAGTTGTTGCTTTCAGTAATTGAATTGAAATAAAACATCTTACGGTTTTTTATATTGATGTGAAGCATGTTATGCCAGAAGCTATAACCGTCTGACCTTCTGAGGAACCGTGGTGACAGATGTAAGTAATTATATAAACGAGATCAGAGTCTTGTCGATAAAAGTTAGTTTGATGTCTCATTTAACACATTCTCATATAAAAACGTGAAACCTTAAACAAACAGAAATGTTAAAACTTCTCGACTATTCCATAACGCAATCTTCTCGGGTCTAAAACAGACGTTTTGGTATCTGTGAAGTGACACGAATTGTTTATTTTGTTTGAGTAAAGCTGACCGTGTTTTTAAATCTAAAACCATGACCAGTGCAATAATGAAGACCTCTCGTCTCATATACTCAACGGAACTGGGGATAATCCAGTTGAGGCGCGGTAATGGTTCCGTGTACAGCCCGCCAGTGCATCGCATACTAATACATTCACATTTGTAGCTGACAGGGAGACAGGTATTTTGGTTTTCAATAAAGCTGTCACTTATAGGGAGCAGTATCAGCTACAAAGCATGAAAAATCAAATTTCAAAATGTCGAAGAATGCTAGCTATAGGATGTTGTCCACCAAATAAGATCAATGATAAATGTCAGGAGTATTCAGAGCTGTTAACGGTCTGTCTTCAGTGTCTGACGCTTATTTATGTATTACTTCCGAAGATATTGGCGGTACGTTTGGACGTTATTTATGAGTCCCAAAAGGTGAAGTTCCGATAGCAGACTATATATATTTTTCCGACTCAAAGCCATGTTCACCGATACGGAATTAATGGCTAATACATAGTGTACAAATGATCACTTAACGTACCAATTTTTGTTAAACCAATGTGGTCATTAAAATACTCCCTCACAATTCAATACACTACGTGATCTAAGTGATCTTATTCACATAAAAACATCCTAGCACACCACATTTCACATCTCACTTATGGAAACATGTTCCATGGTGTTATCACATCATTCTCCTTTAAATGTATTTTTTACAAACGAAAAAAAAACCAATCTGACGTCCGCTTCCGCTTTTTTCAATTTCACAAACAATAAAATCAAAAATATTTTCGTTTGTTGGTGTGTTTAGCGATCGAAAATTAAGAATAAAGCGTTTGTGATATTTTCTGCGTCAATGAAGCTTTGTTTTTCGTTAGATCATTGTTTTGTAATTAAGTTACAGTTTACCATGGCTCTTAACTGTATCTTCAACGAAGAAAATTTCAAATTTGTTTGGCAGTATCCTTACTTTGATTTGCGTGCCCATTTACTAATGTTATCCTGTGACCTCATTATCTTAACACAGATTCTGTTAAAACCTTTCTGCAACGTTCCTTGGATTAATCTTATTCAAAATGTCCAGTAAAGCAAATGATCCACAATCTATAAGTGGTTTTTGAATGAATATAAAATTATATATTGAATATAAAAGAAAAGAAGAAACTCATTAAGAAAATAGTTTTGCTCGTATACAGTAGAAATGTGGTGCGTCTCTCTACTTTTGAATTATCGAAATACAACCATACATGTATTTTTTTTCTATATTGCATGCTATCACAACATCAGTATATTTTCTATATTTACCTTTAAAAATGTTTACATTTGCATCCGAAACATATTATAAACTTGAAAATTTGGGCAAGATATGCAATTATCTGAAAATGAAGATATCACAGACAGGTAGATATATATCTAAAGGCGGCCAAATACTCGTACATGTGAAAAAGTTGCAATAGAAAAGCATGCAAAATCATTATCGAGATTCTTTATCTATCAGTAGACTTAATATATGTTTTCCAGAAATTACATACATCATGATTAACAAAAACGCTTAAGAACCATATCAATAAAATGTACAGCAACTAAATATTAATAATATTAGATCATCATATATCGTTTCACATTTTGTGTTTCAAAAAGCATGTTATTAAAACTTTAAGAAGACTGAATGGATGTCCGATGATTATCAGATAATTTTCACATGTATGAGAATTTTGGGGAAAAAAAATATTTGACAAATCTGACAAAAGATCGGTAGCTTTTGATTGGATGTCGTAATCAACGTTTCATCACCACTAGTGAAAACAACAGCAGTGACTATAGCATGTATGTTTAACTCATAATTCTCCTTTCAGTAGAAAAATGTAATAAAAATATACCTATGTACATACCTCACCTCTATTTGAACTAGAAATCTTGGTTCTATTCAAGACGAAATATATATATATTCTTCTCAATACAAGTCACGTTGTAAGACACAGGTCGGTTATTGTACACTGTTTCATATTTCTTCAGACGTCTTAATTAAAACTAATTACACATGCAACAATACAACCTTTTTTTAATCGATATCAGCTCTTCATCTTTAAGTTATTATTTAAATAAAACATATCATGGATAACACTGCAGCAATAAATATAGACGTTTTAATGACGCAGACGACGTTTTTTGTAGCAATTGTATTACTTATCGGCGGCTTCCTTTGGATACGAACCAACAGAAATAAATACAAAGTATATCAAAAGCTTCACTGATTTAGGCATCAGCTATCGTTCAAGTCTCCAATGGTAACAAGCCTGAGCAAACTACGTCAATACCGGCTTCATTGAGATTCTACTCATGTTGCAGAACCTGTCGCATCAACCCGTTTCTATGGTTATGAAGCAGGAAAGAAGATCGAAAACACCACGTAAGCAGGCTTGTCCAATTTTTCAAGTTTAATTACCTGGAAGAAATGAGAAGACATATAGGTACAGTGCTATATCGAAGTTAAAGCCATTATTAACATCTACGATGCTATGTTTAATTGGTCTGGACCACTTCTTCGTCTCTAGATAAAAGTAAGCTTTACGCTGAAACAATGTGTTCCATTTTTACACAATCCTTTAATACAAATAGATAAGCTGTTGTGTCCAGCTGTTATTCATTGAAGTAGGTATCAGGCAAATGACAAGTTTTGAATTTATCCAGGGAAAATACAAAAAAGTATAGTGTCAAATGTGACTCTATCAAACTAACACAACCCTAATACGAGGCGCATTTATAGTTCCCGAGCCCATCTCACTACACATGACAAATGGGCGATTTACATTCACATGAAAAGGCAACGGATAAATCATGGCGAGCTTAATTCTCTGTTCCGTTTGATCCTAACATGTTGCTCTCCGCCACAGTATTGAACTGGGAGACTTTGTTACGTTATAATGAAGGAGATTAATCTCGACACGTCTGGTACATATACATGTCTGGCCTACAGAAATCTGACTAACATTAGGCTTAATCCCTTCAAGTTATGTATGCGAAGTTGAAGTTAAATTACATTACATATGCTTAAATAGCACGATTCATCGGATTTCCCTCACTTGGAGTATTATGTTATGCAATGCACATTAATCATTCTTATATGACATTTGGAAAAAAAAGTGTCAATAAAATCTCCACATTTCTATTTCAAATATTCATCAAATAAACACATCACTTGGAAACTACTGCCAATATCAATTAAACTAGGGTCAGCTTAAGCATGGATACGTACGGAACCAAGCTCAGCATCATATGTTTCTGTCGTATTTAACTCGTTTTCAATTACACCTTAATTGTTGTCATGTGACAATGCGTGTCCACATCCGTTATCACGTTTCGTCTTTTGAAGTAAGGCTCTAAGAGCAACATAGTAACTCGAAAAAAATGTAGGGGATGTCAAGGCAAACAGCGACGAACTTTCATTGATGTGATTGGTCAGTAGCATCCTCTACTCTATAACGTGTTTATTCTTAACAAGAAAATAAAATGTACTTGCTCCATTTATAAAATTCTCGAATTCTGAAACCTTTAATGAAATGTACGATGATAGGCATTTATTTCTTTTGTATTTTTTTAGTCGCTTAAAATAGCTCATTGGGAAAAAATTGCTTATCTTGCTATTTTCTGTTAAGCCCATATATCGAAATGTTCTGATGTTTATTATTCTTGGTATGTTGCCCAAATCAACAGGTGCAACAAAAGGGCGAAGAACGTTCTGCCATAATCGTGAGTCCATTTTGTTTTTGAGTGTTGGAAATACAACAGAACTTTCAAATACTGACAAGTACTCAAAATTTATACATACAACAATTCGACAATTTCGGCTTCGATAACGAATGCGTGGAGTCAATTCCAGATAATTTTCCTATTATTTTATAAGCTTAACCACCTTTGGGAAACACAAAATCAGTCGACCGGACGAAAACAAGGGAAGCCAAATATTTTTGCCTTGTTTGTATTCATCTTAATACCGAAAAACAAAAACTGTATTTTTTCTGTAATAATTATTTGGCTTTAAAGAGAGTATCTGGTTGTTTACAATCGGCGATCTAGTGTTCTGATATTTCTACACTTTTTCTTCTGGTTGGTAAGTATGGATTATGAGAAGTTCTTTTTATACAACCAAATACATTTTATTGGTTGTGTAAAAAAAACTTCTCCAAATGATCTAGTGTTCTGTTGCTCACAATCTTGTTACTACATAAACTAGAAAATGTTTTGGTCGTGAATGCCACGCTCCGATGCAAGTTAGGAGTCATTATTTGGCAACTTTAAATAAATAGTAACGGTAGACTTGGCCTTGACAAAGAATTCTTTAAATATAAACTCATTTAGAGTATTTTCGTACATGATATTTATATAAAATCTTATCAAATCCTGCTACGAAAAAAGGAAGTTACTAGTGCGACGACGCTGACATGAGATCGGACGAAACATGACAAGGCAGTAAGAGACGCGACGGCCCACAAGTAAAACTAAATGCCTCACCTATAAAATGGTGCCGACATGAACAACAGAAATCAATAATTCTTTCTAACACAGATGTTCAAAGATGGTTTCTTCTTTGAAACTTTTCTTTTAATGACAACCATGAGTAAAAAAAAAGTGTTTGAGGATGCCATAGCAATTATGTTCCTCCATTCATTTCACACCAGCCCCTTTGTGAGTCATTTCCATGGCTTGATGTTCGCTGTTGTGAATTGTTCTGATCGCATCCCACGTGGAGATAACACCGTACTGTTGTTACGGTAATGTTTGCACGATCATCTACGACATTACTATCCCTGTGTTGACTAGTCCAACCTACCAGAATTATACTGTTTTAGCAGTCTTTTTGGCATAATATCTTGATTGAAGTTGAACACGAAGCAAGTATATGGCTTCACGGACTTGTATCAGAATTTTTTTCCGGTTTTCGTCAAGATATTAATCCGTATAGTTTGCCCGTTTCAATCGATTTACTACATATGTACGATATCCTATATATGTATGATGGAAGCAAGGATATATGCAGCTGCATCTAAAACACCCAGTAATTTCCTGTCTTGGCACTATCACTGATTAGAATTCGCCTTACTAGCTCATCATCCCTATCTTTGTCTGTAGACAATGAAGGGTTCAGTGTAGTGATAGCTACACTTAAACTGTGAACAGCCTTGCCAAGATAAAAAAAAAAACGCTGGTTGTTTATCTGATTATAAAAGAAATTCGCCATCGGTTGCTATCCACTATTAGTTTCACTTTCTCGACGTGTCTAGATTGATTCGCCTCTTCGAACGTATGTGTAATCTACCCAATGTCTGATAATTGGACATTTTGGAAAACAAAAACAGTATATCACAATGGTCGGATCTAATCTCCAACATTTTGGCCTGGACATCCACTTGTTTATTTGACATTGTCCTGTTTCGTAATGCCTGCACTGCAACCGTCTACAGTGCAGAGACATGTGCTATTGAAGCAATATCATCGGAAAAAATCATATATTCTTTTTACTAATGGCAGGTCTTTACTTGACCTTGACCTTCGAACATTGAAACACAAACTCGTTCTATGTATTTTCAAAATTTACCTTTGTATGAAGTTTGATCCGGTGGGAAATTACCTAATTAGAGCGATGATAAAACACTTGATCGGGACAAGACTGGACGAAACGGGAAAGGCAACAAAAAATGGATAATACTATAACCGTTTCTCATCTACTCTATAAAATGGCGAGACATTAGCATGACATTTAATTTAACAAATGTTTATAAGCTTATTTAAAGCTATATTTATGACCACGCATTGCATTTTTTTAACAACCTCAGTTATATGAAATGCGACGTGTATTTTAAAATGGATCAGAAATAAAACCATGATTTTTTTTACAATTTACCGCCGTAAAAAATAAAATTCGAGACTGCAAATTTTTTAATAACATGTTCTTCAGTTCCATGACTGATGATTGTGACTATGGACGGGAATTTGAAACGATGCGTAATCGTCACGGACGACAGGTCCTTTTATTGGTAAAACCTCAAGGTTTTTCTATTATCCACATACTTGTCCATTTGTAATGATCAATAAAAGCAAAGTCCTCGCCCCAATGTATCAGAAATTTGAATGTGCTTTGAGGAAAACCAAGTCAGGCCAAATGGCAGAATAGGCATTAATTTGACAGTAATCTGATATTTCCTTAAAGAGTAACCTTGGTCCGACACTGAGGTGAAATCCGACTATTCCAATATTTCATTCTATAACGATGAAACTGGATGCAGAAGTATCCATTACGTGCAAGGTTTTATTTGCACGTTTCTGGCTTGGTCTCTGACTCATCAGCATACATCCTTCATTTTTAACTTCAAAAAAGTCCAAATCTCGAATTATATCTTGCGATTATGCTACGAACCTTTCTTTCTGTTGTCAGTATCGTCATAGAAGAGATGTTGATAACGAACGACGTATAGGCAGTTTTGGTATAAGCAACGTACCATAGAGTGATTTATTAATATATAAAAGACGCTATGCATAAAATAACGGTTGTAATCAATGCCGGTCGATTGTTGTTGCATCGTTGATTGTACCCGATTGCCTCGACCCCATACTGTGTCTTTTGATAGCTTCATGATACAGTGTTTTCTAAATTTAAATTTAAATACTTTCTGTTGGTGTTCGATGTTGGTGTGTATATATATAATGGCTAGCAGTAAGAATGGATTTCGTTTTTATTAAATATTGAAAATATAAGACAATGTTCCTAAATTGTTTTATTGGGATTATCAGCGCCATCCGTCTTCGAGCCATATATTTCCGTATTGAAAATGCTAAAATATCCTGACGAGTCATGTATAAAAGTGTCATGATATAAAAGAGAACTATGTTAGCCCGTTCCATATGCCCCTTAACTATTGCTGTGTAAATTACTTTTATTGATATTTTCGTTTGCGAATATTCCAGAATGAAACGTCCACTTTCAAATACCATATTCTTTACATCTTTCATTGGTCAGATTGTCCAACTATATCTGAAAACTTTTTACTGATCATGGACAAACATGTTTCCGTTTTACGACCTGTCTTCCGAACTTACCTCACTTCTGCTCGTCTTTTCACCGAGGCCAAATTTCTGAGTGACCACTCCTGTCGTTTTCATGTTGTGATCCCCGCTGTCAATCTGCTGAACCGTAATGCAGTACCTGACCTCCCGATCAGCACGCATGGAGAACGTGTGGCGTTCACACTGTCGGAAACTCAGGATTGGGTCGCCTGGACGGAGGCGCTAATGGACAAAATGGTAAAGTTGAAAACACTATTGAAAACAAACATACTTCAATCTCACAAATACGTTCTTTCCTTCACGTAACGCTACATTACCTTCAAAACAGCCTGTAAAGATGAACCATCTATCAAATTCGTAATAAATAGAGTATGGCAAAAATAAACAATACAGTTGTTCCATCTTTCCAGAACTCATCCGTGATGATAGGGGCCAAAAAGAAGGAAATTCAAATTGGTCTAAATTAGTGTTGAAACAAGAGGGGG